CTGAGGAGACTGACTTTAAGGTAGCATGTGCTAAGAAATAGCATTTTACCTAATATTTCTTATAGTGGTTTCCATTATCTATGATTTACAACACACACACAGTTGTTCTATTCTGATCATTTCAGGTTTCCCTAAAAATTTTGTTTCACCTTATTTGTTACATGCAGTGGTCTTATTGTAGTACATATTTCATTTCACTTTTCAATCTGAATCAACAGCTTATTATAGAAAACTATTTCATGGAACTGTTTAGGAAGAGAATGGTACTAGAAATAGCAAAAATCAAAGTAGTTATTTTTCCCTGTGATGATGATGATGATGATGGTGATAATTTTGTAGAACTTACATAATACTATGTTTACTTCTTTTCTAGTTTTTTGAAAATGTCTATATTACATTCAGCTATACTTGTTCATATGCTTGTATATTATATTTCTTAGAGTTAATGAAGTTACAAACATATCTGAAAATACAATGGTTGCTAAAATTAATACCAGAGAGATCCATTGCTTACTATATTATGGTGTCCCTAGGAATCTCCAATAACCAATATACTAAGCACTGTTATATAATTTTTTCCAACTTACTTTGTTTTCTCAACCTTGCATTTAAGTAAATAATAGCAAATGGTGATAAAAAATTTAAATTACCCTCCAAAACGAAATTATTGCTTCTAACATGTTGATAAGATGATTTCATTGTTGCTTTGTATGTCCCTCCCACACAGTATAACCCTGTTTTCACTGTATTGATGTTTATGAAGGGGAAGGGAAAAAACAAATTGTTTAAATAGGGATACAGGTGGACCCATTGCAACAATGAGATGTACAAGATGTTATGTCAAAAAACTTTGGCGGGGGATTGGGAGGGTTGGGGGCAGTGATAGGAAGGGTTGGGAAGGGGAAACAAAGGAGGAAGCAACTATCCTTGATAAGAAATGTACTCATTACCTTGCTCATGTAATTGTAACCCCTCTGTATGGGATTTTCACAATAAAAAAAAATCTTAAAATTAAAAAAAGAACAAAATTATTTTTTGACCATAACTAAAGTAATTGTATTTGATTTGCATCTACATTAATTAACTTTAACACTTCCTGGAAGAGTTAAGCTAATAGTAGACATTAAAAGACCAAATAACTTTAATAAATATAATCACTGAGCTGGAATCATTAAACAACAATCACTAGCAGCATTTCAAAATTGTAGATACCTACCAAACCACAAAACAAATTACTGATTTAGTTTTTATTAACATCAGACAGAATTCCCTGATGAAAGTTAAAATTACTTGTCAGAGGTGTACAAGCTCACTAGTTGAACTTATTTTAAAACAGCATGTACTAGCTGTTAATTATGCCTACTTAAAGAGTTTTTTTGTGTTGCAATTTTTAAATATTTCCTCAACAATTTATTAGAGAATATAAATACTACTCATCACTTTCTGGTATTTTACTCAAGTGTAATTTTGATCTTAGAAAAGGTCAAGCTGAAATAATTCAAATAATCTTTGTAAGAATATAAATGGTTGCAGACATCCTTGTAAGTTTGAATTCTACTACACTTAAACAATCAGGAATTCATAACATTTTTATCTAAATATGAAAACACTTATTCTTTTTCTTCTAAAAGCTACTAAATATTGAGATGACAACATGTCCTATGTAGAATAAAATTTAGCTTTACTTTTATCCTACATTTATTATTATTGTCATTATTACTATCTTAAACCTCTAGATTTAAAACTCTCCTCCCTTTCTCAAGACAAATAAAATCATGTTAGAAAGAAAAAAACAAGACAGATTAGGAAATCTCTATTTTTCTGCAAATCATAGAATGGATGAAGCTATATTTCTTCTTAGTCTCCATCTCCATCCCTGACAAGACGTGAACTTTATTTCAACCACAATTAATGGATCCTTAAATGTGGTAACCTTTAAATCCATGCTTTCTGATTAATCTCTTTATGGCACTTGGAAAAGAAATAAAAGATTCTGACTTTGTACAGAAAACTAAACAAAAAGAATTTTTCATAGTCTTCAATATGATCAATTGTATCAATAGCCCATATATGTATATATTGTAGGCTTAAAGAAAGTATCTCTCAAGATTAACTATATAACTGAACAAGATAGAAATTCATTCTGAAAGTTAAAATGAGGTTACTCTATATACCCAGCCTCATTGTATGATGACAGATACTCTTCTTTCAAACTGAATGTATGTATGGACCTAGCACTGGAGACAACCACCAAATGAAAAAAAGATCCATTAAATATTAGAGGATCCATTAAAGATCCATTAAATATTAGATCCATTAAATAAAAGAGGAGAAAGAATAGGAAAAATTATTTCTAAACTGCCAAATAATCAGAACCACTCCATACATGTGATAACATATTTTTTGGAATACTGTGCTTGAGTCCTTGATGCTTATCTTATAGCTTAATCCCAATCACATGAAGAAATTTAATCAACAAACCAATGGACCTACTAAATGTCTCCAAAGCTTTTCAACAAAAATAAACAATAAGAAACACAAACAAAAATACTTACAAGCTTTAAAAAATTAAATTTCTAGCAAGAAGAAAAATGTAGGAATAGATAAAATTCTTTTTTTATCACTTCTAGTATCTCACATTTTATCATAGTGAATAAAATTTTATAGAATTTTATAGAACTAGGAACTGGTGCTTGAACTGAGAAAACTCCAAGGAACATATATAAAAAAATGGCCTTGATTCTTGTGAAGTTTTCCTAATTCTACCCTAACACTTTTCAAAGAAATTAAAATTTCTAAAGATAGAGTTTGGCAATATTCCTCACTTAATTGCATAGTGTGAATGTTTGAATTGGAGTCTGGTATAAAATTATGCTATCAAATCATTGTCAATCTTTATTTTTTAAACTTTCTTCTTCTATATTATGCCACCCATATGGTTTGGTAAAATCTTGGAAATCAAAATAGATAGGGAAAGCTTGACTCATATAAACAAATACAAAGCCATAATTCTTAAGAGAAAGCAAGGCAAAATTTCCATGACAAAAACTAACACCAATGTAGTTATGTTAGATATAACTAAAGGGGATATAACTAAAGGTGGATTTCTGTAATTTTTACATTGATTACAAGTGTTATTACTTGTAGACATGAAGTTGGAAGAAGTGAAATTATTAGAAGATGTAATGGAAAAAAATCCAAAACAATGGAGTAAAATGTGTGTGTGTGTGTGTGTGTGTGTGTGTGTGTGTGTGTGTGTGTGCTCACCTATGCAAGATTACATTCAATGGAAAATCTTTGGAAAAATAACTTTTTACTGCATGGATAGGATATGAACTTATGATTATATCCTATGTAGATATAATGTGTCCCAATAGAACACTTCTTAATAGATGGGGCGTTAAAAATAGAAAAACTAAAATAATAGGAAATGTACTCATTACCTTGCTCATGTAACTGTAACCCCTCTGTACAGTATTTTTACAATAAAAAATATTTTTAAATACCTATTTAAAAAATAGGTATTTAAAAAAATAGGTTTTAACCAAAATACTATGCTCTTCCACGCATCCAAAAAAAGACCAGCATCGTATATTAAACTTCTTAGAAATCACTTCTTGCTTAGTTTCATTATGATACTGTTTCAGTAACTGCTTGTCTCTAGCAACACCAAAGGAACATAAAGACTCTGGAAAGCTCTTCCAGAAGAAACTGCTCCCTCTTGACCATTTCCCCTCCCCATATCTTTGGTACAGTAGGAAAAATTTCATTCTTAGGACAGGTACTTGTTATCTGGTTGTATTCTATACCACTAGAACAAGAGTTAAAACCATTTTTACAGTTAATTATATTTTCTATCTGATTGCTTTATACTCCACTAGCACAAGAGACACCCTTTTTTAGAATTCATTGTATTTAATGTAATTATTTTTCTTTTCTGAAACTCCTAAACTGCAGTGCTTCACCCGACATAGTAATTCACTACAATGTCCTTTGTTGCACTGATTTGATGCTACAACTTTCCCCTTTCCCTCCCTCCTTTCCTTCCTCTCTCCCTTCCTGCTTCCTCCTGTCCTTCTCTCATATTTAGACCCAGTCCAATTTCTCAGTCTGCTCAGATGAGTTGAGCACAGGGAACTCTGCTAGGCAAGGAAAGAAAACAAGTCTTTCCAATAACAGCCCTTGGAAAATCATACCACAACTGACCCCAGTGCCACTGTAAAGTCCCAGTAAGAAGGAGTAAATTGGTCCCACTTCTTTTTCTCTGCTGTCTCCCTATTAATATTTGGACAGAATCTTATTTCTCTCCCCATGACTATATTAGTAGGGTAAAAGGGTTTGTAGTTATGTAAAGCCAGATGAGAAATAAAGAAGAGCTATATAGGTCTTCCTGTAATGGTATCCAACTGAAGAAGCAGGGTTGTTCAGTAAGTCAGTATTAAACATTAGCATATGATAAACAATCATGAATTGACACAAATATATAATGTCAAATAAAAGCCACAAACATATGCTCAGTAAGTCCTGGTAAGCCAGAAACTCTTTTTAGTTCTGTTTCCTTTTGGGGCTTTCTCAATTTGTACTCAACAATGAATTTAGGGGTCTTTGGGGATGTGTTTAATATTTCTCTTCTCTGTATGTGTATAAATGTGTGTGTTTGATATGTAAAGGATACGTGAATCATATCTGTACACATAGTGTATGATTCAAAATAATACAAAATCTTCTACACCCTTTAAGTGATCTGCTAAATTATGTCACAAGATTAATTTTATCATAGTCTACATTGTACTGAGGATATGTAAAAGGAGGCAGGCAAAACTAAAAATAGTTATGTCAAATGACGGTATCAGTGTATAGTGAGGACTGATACTTTGAAAGTGTTCTTCTCATAATACCTGTTCTGTTTTTTGCATGCCATTCAACTTGAAAGATGCACACGTACACCTTCATAAACCCACAGAGACACACACATACATGCATGCACAGAGAGAACTTACATAATTTCATCGTTCTGGAACTCGAGCTGTCCACAAGTGTCTTCAAAGTCTTCTCCTCCACCTTTGGCAGTCCCTTCGATGGTTTTATAGGGCACAATAACATTTCCTCGGGCTCCAGATGTTCTCAGCACCTTCACCTCCATGGTGCCAATGCTCTCGCTCACGTGGAGCACAGATTCCTCAAATGTAAAGATGCCTGCATGGTCATCATCAAAAATGGTTATGGTCGCCGTGGAGGGTGAACCGATGCAAGCCAGTGTGGCCACATGGTTGGCTTCCAGAATGGTATCTTCTTGAGTGTCAGTAAATACTTTGAGGTTGCTGAGATGCACAAGAAAATTTTCATCCTCCTCAAAGATATCATCATCGATGATGCCAACTCTGATTTCCTTCTGGGTCTCCCCAGGCTTAAAGACCACAGTCCCTTCGGTGTATTCATAATCAGAGCCAGCATTGGCTGTGCCATCTTCTGTTCTGAAGTCAACATGTACCGTGTTGGCTAAGTTGCCACCTTGGCGGATAATGGTCAGGGACACTGTACCACAGTTCTCCAAGCACTGGTATGACCCTTGCTCAAAAAAGACCTTAGAAACAGGGTCATTTCCTGCCACTTCGTTGTTGACTTCCTGTGTGCTAACTGCCTTCCTTGCTTGGTCAGCTGCATGTCTCTTCAAAATGTTGCCAGCTCCAGTCATTAGGCGAGTAGCTTGAATACGGTAAAATGCTCGGCTTTTTTGCTGCTGACTTAGGACTTGATAGTTGGCTAATTCGATTAATTGTTCTATTTCTTTCTCCGGATGCTTCTGCTTAAGCTCCTTGAGAATCCTAGCCATTTCTCGCCTAGCTTCCTCATCATCTTGGTCCTTCTCATCAACTTCAAGAACCAGAGCTCCATCTAAGAAACTATCAACATGAGAGTTGACCACTTTTCCATCCATTTCAATCTCAGTTTTGGAAGATGGCCCCTCTCCTTCATGTTCGATGATTATTCCCCTCTGCTTGCCAGCACGATACCGCTTGTAGACATACTTGTAAAACAGAAGCCTCCTATCTGCGATCCAAGCGAACACCACACAGATGGGAAAGAAGAAGAAAGTAAGCAAACCTTCCCAGACCTCCACAACTCCAGGAGAGCTGACAGACAAAATGATGTACAGCCAGGTATAGGCAAAGATGCTCCAGGCTGCTGTCACAAAGAACACTCGCAAATGCTTGATCTTCCTGTTCTCGCCATCAGGGACCACATAAACACAGATTGCAATGATGATGAACATGTTGAAGGCAGCACTTCCCACGATGGTGCTCGGGCCGAGGTCTCCAGCATTGAAGTTATGGCCACACACTTCAATGACTGAAAGCAGAATCTCAGGAGCAGAAGATCCCAGGGCCATCAGGGTCAGGTTTGACACAGTCTCATTCCAGATCCTCACAGTCGTCTTGGTGGTCTCTCCATTGGGTTTCTTTATGGTTATTTCTCTCTCTTGAGATGTGATGACTTCTATCGAAGACATGAACCGATCAGCAATGATAGAGACACCGAGGAACATGTAGACCATTGCCACAAAATACACAGTGGCTCTAGCAATTTTGTCTCCAAAAGAAGGTTCTTGGGGCTCCCAAATGGGCAAAATCACCCCTTGCTTACATTCATATGAGCCAGCACATCCACCAGTTTCATTTTTTCCTCCTTCCTTTTCTGTCTCAGCAGTTACAAAGTCCACATGGTAAAATAAGAGAGCCAGCAGAGCTAACAGATGAAATCCCATTGAAAACATGGGTGAGAGACTTAAACGCAGCATGGTGTACAAGGAGACTTCCAACTGTCCCAACCTACTGGTAAAAATAAAATGAGGAGAGTGGGTAAAAGAATAAATCACATCATTAGGGCCAAATCTACTGGATGACTAATTACTTATTTGTATTATTTTAGCAAAAATTTGTGTATGTTTGACTATCCTCTGGTGAATCATTATTCTGAGAACACATCAGTGATTAAGCAATCTTTCGTAGAATTTATAGTTTGAGCTCCCTGTTGGTGAACTTTAAAAAATATATTGAGAGTCCTATTCACTCAGTATAACATAACAATTGACTCCTTGGAAATGAAAAAATTCAATTATAATCTGTCCTTATGGACCACATATTTATGCATACTGATAGCCAAAAGGCAAAGCAAAACACTTTTCAAGCATTAAATAACTTTTAAATCTATGGATAATACATTTTCTTCAAGAAATTATTTCATTGACAAAATCACTTTTATTAATATTCATGTCTTGAAACTCAGATTCTGAAATACATTGTCAATACAAAACATGGTAACTATTTTAAACTTTGGGGTATACTGTATATAATTTCATGAAATTATGACCTCCTTCTCCAACTTATATGGAAATAAGAGAAATCTTCAGGTCTTCCTGCAATCAAAGTTTAAAGGCCATTAATTCTTAAGAGGGGGAAAAATTCTAATACAGATCAGTATTTTCAGACAGTTAAGTACAATTTTTCCCATTTTGTTTTGTTTGAATGACTGATTTTTGTGCCTGTACTAGAGCTTACCTAGGGCCTTGTTCTTTCTCGCTTGGCTTCTTTTGCTCAAAGCTAGAGCTCTACCATTTGAGTAACATCTCTACATCCAGCTTTTTGCTAATTAATTAGACACAAGAGTCTCATTGATTTTTTCTTTGGCCTGGGCCTAGCTTCCAACCTTGATCTTCAGATCTTAGCCTCCTGACTAGCCATGATTACAGGCATAAGACACTAGTATACCTGTCCTCGGTTCATGTTTTCAAAGCATGTTTTGATTTTCGAAAAGTACGTTTGCTCCTAATTTTCAGCAAACCTAAGTTTCTTGATATATTCACAGCTAAGTATATGTTCTTCAGGTATAGTTCATCACACGTATATACTCATCTGACTTTGCAATCTTGCAGGCGGCGGCAGATCCAAGACCCTGACTGCAACAGGAACAGGAGATAACCTGGCCTGGGCCTGGCAGGCTATGGAATTAGGTGTATAATATTCCTTCCTGGCGTCAGTTTCTCATTCTCCATGGTCATTCCAAAACATATACTGATTCTTAAGTGGGCTCAAGTGACTAAAAATAGAGGTGTGTCGATTCCATGTAAATTAGCTAATTTACTAACAACAGCTAATGTCACTAACAACAGTGACCACAAACCATACATGTGATGAAGAACTATAGACAACTATATATTTGGCAACAGAGTCACTGAGCAGTACAAAGAACGGTAAGAAGCAAAATCATGGAGTAAGCCACCCACGCAGTCCTCTACCAGCTCATACAAAACTCAGCTCAGAATTTACATATCATCTCTGCCCCTAGGGGCCTGCATAGAGTTAAGAGTGGTAGAGGAGGGTGTTTTCATCTAGAAGACCTCAAAAAGGTGAGACATCCATAAATCAAAGGATAGGAAAAGGATCCTGAGTCAGAACAGACTTCAAGCTGGCTAAGAGCTAACCCACCTTTTCCTATATTCTATGGCCTATGCATTCTGCCCATGGCTTATATAGAAACCTGTACCAGGATCCAGGAGAATCTTTGTGCCTGGTACATCTCAGTAGAACTTCAGAGATCCCATTGCTGTCTAACATTTTTATTTAGGCCACAACAAATGGGAAACAGTTTTTTTTTTGCATTTCTTCCATACTAAAGAAGCCCTTTATAGAGTGTTGGCACAGTCAATGTCCAATCTAAGTAAAAAAGACTGACACACAGAAGAAACATATTTCTAAGGTATACAATTTCTTGGTCAGTATGCTTATTTGGTTCTATCATCACAGGATTTGGCAGGGTGGTGTGGGATTTGTTTAAAACAAGATGACATTTTACCAACCTGCAGGAAGAATGTTACATGTGGTTCCAACACCCTTATATCGCTACATAAATATGAATGGGTGCTTAATGAGAACTTTAGAAAGGCCTGATCTCTACTCTTCCTGAGACTTCACAAGTGGGCTAAACAAAGTTGCTTGTCTTCACTAGGCTTATAGTCTAATAGGGAGGGGAAAATAAACAAAGTCAAAGGTCAGCTAGTATAATGTGCTATAGTTTGGGTGTGATATAATCTAGGAACAGGAGTTGTGTGTGTCCATGTGGAACATGTGGTTTTATCTTGGTTGGACAAGGTAGCCCTCTCTGGCAAGGTTACATTGTCCTAAATAAAGTGAGCGATGAAGCCTATGGCTATCTGCACCATGACAATCCTAGCCAAGTACAATGGCCCCAATGAATATCAGTGCTTGGCACAGTCCAGTACCACAGAAAAACCAGTGGGGCAAGAAGGCAGTTCAGGAACAGGTAGGCCTTAAGAACTAGGGGTACAGTGACAATGGTCAATGGTTCATGAGTGGAATTAGAGCCTTGGGCTTTGATGGGGTGGAAGATAGGATATCTGATTCCCTTTTAGAAGGCATTTCACTTGATTCCGTGGAGAACAGATAAATTACAGGGCACAAGAAGACCAGTTCTTGCTTACCATAATAGGTTCAGCTTTATAAATCAATTCAATATCTGGAATTTAGTTAAAATTAAATGGCAGAGGTTCCGGGAAGATGGCGGAGGAGAAGCTGGAATATGAACAAACTCTCGCAGAGAAAGCAGTTTTAGAGTTCCAGTGAACAGTCCTAAGCCAGAGAATCACACCAAGTGTGCCATCACAGGACAGAGAGTTAGACAAGAGAGGGGAAGCCAAGACAAGGAGACACATCTGAGAGCTTGCCAGCAGCCGCTGCGGCGGCGGCAGGGTCACCGCCGCGGCCATACCTGAGCGCTCACACAGAGAGTCTGGGACGAAGGAGCCAGAAGCAGTGGGCGAGAGGATTCTACTCAACACCAACAAGAACCGACAAGGAGCAGACATCTTCATCCTGCAGTTTGCAGACCAGAGACGATGCAGGATCCAAGACTCGGCGTGAGTAGAAGCCAGACATCCTCACTCCTTCTCAGGGAGCTGAGGAGGGAAGGCCTCCCCTTCCCCCCCAGCACCGGTGATCTCCATCTTGGATACCGACAAAGCTCGGAGGAGCTGCTAGCTCCAACTCAGGCCTTGGAATAAAACGAGTCATTTAGCAGGTCACAAGAACTTAACGGCGAAGTGACCTGCCAGACTCAGCTCCATCCAGGGAAAAGTCACCCAGCTCAGGCACCAGCCATTGGAGAGGCTTTCCTCACTGGGTAGCCAGAGCCAGAGGCTGCCCCTCCCTCCAGCAGCCTCCACAATCAATTGAAAAACAGAAACCCTGAGAATGGCTCCAGGCTGGGCTCTGTGAGTTTTTCACAAAATAGCCCCAGGGAAAAGCTATTCTTTGTTGAAAGGCCTCAACTCTACCAGAACCTAGCTTCATCACCCCTCTTTTGTGATTCTCAAAGCAGATCACC